ACATTTTGTGAAGAACGCGTTTAAGGCTGCAATGTTAAACAATATTGCGTTTTACAAGCTCCATGATCCATTGCGCCATGAGCTACTGCTAACAGCTAAAGATCTACTGGTAGATCCCGATCTACTGGTTGGCCTGGCCTGCTTTAAACACTTCCACATCAAAACAGAATTTTTTGTCCTCAAAACTCTGGCTAAATTTAAATACAGAGATTTTCTGCTGCCAATGCACTTTTTATCCGCATTGGTCCATGAGCCAAAGGAAACACAGGTAACCAAAAAGAAACCCACAAGTTTGTTATAAGCAGTGATGGGCAGTGCTAATTCAAAATTTAGTTGCACAATTTCTAAAGCGCTAGTCAACTTATTTAGGTCTGCAAGTTCAAGAACACATATGCTCAAAAAAAGCAGAAGCTAATCATAAAGCACAAATCTGTCTCTGTTCACCAGAAAACATTCCAGTGACACCATAAGACATGTCAGCAGCACAATACTGCCAACTAGAGAAATGATCATTTTCTTTCACAGATTGGCACATGATGTCGCAGTTTGGGAAGGTGATTTTTTTGAAACAGACTTTTGGGTCATGTTGTTAAAATAAAAAATAGCTGTGGATTGCTAGTTCTGCTGCCTCTTGGTCATTTTCTTATGTTTTTGGTAGGGCTTCAATAAGAAAACATGGAGATATATCAATAATTTTAAATTCTTTATTTTAAAACTGAAGTAATGCATTCTGGGTAGCTTACAGGATGAACAAGAACCTGCTCATTTCCAAGTAAGAGCGTAAATTTAAACTGTTTCATGTGAYCGTCAGTATGACGTGAGACAGCGGGTTGGTGGTGAAGATGCAGCAGGACAAATTATAATTCCTCCCTCTATCCTCCCAAAGCTCATAAAAGTATATGAACAACAATATTGATGCTGGATATTGTTTGTTTATTGAAATATATTGCTACAGAACGTAGTGGGTTCAGATGGCTCTCACCTTTTTCTTTAGACCAAATTGACGATCTAATTTGAAACATGATTTACGATTAGCGCTACTCAATTATAAATTTAGAATGCACAAATCCGCATGTCATTTGAAGAAATTAGTAAAGCTCCTAAAGTGCAAAGGAGAAATTTAGGTCTGCAATTAGCYCTTTTGTGCTTAAGGGGACTAGTGCCCACCACTGGTTATAAGTTTTTTACATAGAACTAATCATTGACAAAAATATATGATGGCCATTTCAATTGTTGATATTTCAAAGCTTAATAGCCTTGAGATACCAATAATTATAACTTTTTTTCGAAGAAGCAATGAATACAAAATAATATGGAAGAAAAAACAGCTAAAAAACGGTTTAAAAATGATGTAGCAGATTAGTTTACACTTAACTACCATCATACCAAAACCAAACTTGAGTTATTTTAACCATTTCTTCACTTTACAGGTGCTGGTCATAAAATTAGAATATCATGAAAAAGTAGATTTATTTCAGTAATTCCATTTAAAAAGTGAAACTTGTATATTACATTCATACATTACATACAAACTCATATATTTCAAATGTTTATTTAGTTTAATTTTGATGATTACAAATGACAACAAATGAAAATCTCAAATTCAGCATATCAGAAAATTAGAATATTACTGAAGACCAATAAAAACAAAGGATTTATAGAAATGTTGGCCAACTGAAAAGTATGAACATGAAAAGTATGAGCYTGTACAGCACTCAGTATTTAGTTGGGGCTCCTTTGGCCTGTATTACTGCAGCAATGCGGCGTGGCATGGAGTCGATCAGTCTGTGGCACTGCTCAGGTGTTATGATAGCCCAGGTTGCTCTAATAGTGGCTTTTAGCTCTTCTGAATTGTTGGGTCTGGTGTATTGCATCTTCTTCTTCACAATACCCCATAGATTTTCTATGGGGTTAAGGTCAGGAGAGTTTGCTGGCCAATTAAGAACAGGGATACCATGGTCCTTCAACCAGGTACTGGTAGCTTTGGCACTGTGTGCAGGTGCCAAGTCCTGTTGGAAAATGAAATCTGCATCTCCAAAAAGTTGGTCAGCAGCAGGAAGCATGAAGTGCTCTAAAACTTCCTGGTATGTGGCTGCGTTGACCCTGGACCTCAGAAAACACAATGGACCAACACCAGCAGATGACATGGCATCCCAAACCATCACTGACTGTGGAAACTTTACACTGGACTTCAAGCAACGTGGATGAAGTGCCTCTCTTCTTTTCCTCCAGACTCTGGGACCTTGATTTCCAAAGGAAATGCAAAATTTACTTTCATCAGAGAACATGACTTTGGACCACTCACCAGCAGTCCAGTRCTGTTTCTCTGTAGCCCAGGCAAGACGCTTCTGACGCTGTCTGTGGTTCAAGAGTGGCTTGACACAAGGAATGCGACAGCAGAAACCCATGTCTTTCATARGTCTGRGTGTGGTGGTTCTTGAAGCACTCACTCCAGCTGCAGTCCACTCTTTGTGAATCTCCCCCACATTTTTGAATGGGTTTTGTTTCACAATCCTCTCCAGGGTGCGGTTATCTCTCTTGCTTGTACATTTTTTTCGACCACATCTTTTCCTTCCCTTCGCCTCTCTATTAATGTGCTTGGACACAGAGCTCTGTGAACAGCCAGCCTCTTTAGCGATGACCTTTTGTGTCTTGCCCTCCTTGTGCAAGGTGTCGATGGTCGTCTTTTGGACAACTGTCAAGTCAGCAGTCTTCCCCATGATTGTGTAGCCTATAGAACTAGACTGAAAGACCATTTAAAGGCCTTTGAAAGGTGGTTTGAGTTAATTAGCTGATTAGAGTGTGGTACCAGGTGCCATCCATTTTGAACCTTTTCACAAGATTCTAYTTTTCTGATATGCTGAATTTGAGATTTTCATTTGTTGTCATTTGTAATCATCAAAATTAAACGAAATAAACATTTGAAATATATGAGTTTGTATGTAATGTATGAATATAATATACAAGTTTCACTTTTTAAATGGAATTACTGAAATAAATCTACTTTTTCATGATATTCTAATTTTATGACCAGCACCTGTATCTAGATCCTAACCTTATGAAACATCAGATACTGCAGTTGTTAAACACTGAAAAGAACATAGACATCAAAGGAAAAACAAAATGACTACATATGATTTTGCAATATATTTAGTTAAGGTAAGAATAATATTTTGCTGTATTTTGATGTGGTGTTAATGTGAACTTGCTCGCCACCTAGTGGTCTGGAGTGGGGCTTCAACACTTTGTGAAAATGTGTGGAAGTAGAAACAAATGTGACTTTTTAAGGCCTTTAATCTCATGGCCAAATCTGACCATTGAAATTTTATCTCTCTCCAAAAAACAACACTTTAAAATAYTTTTATGGTTTCATTCCTCTCATGACAACTGGCCAACTCCCAAGCCAAGAAAATTAAGTTTGAAATTTTCAGCAATCCTTGATTTTAGTCTGGAAAGAGTAACAGATAATCTTTTTCTGTATTCTCTTCCCATTTTTTAGTCAAATAACTGGATTTTAGTCGGATTTTTTTAACTGATTTGCCGGATTGTGATAAAATATCTCTAAGAAATAATAAATCAAAAATTTGTTGATGGAGAGAATGGCCTAAGAAAAGAATGCCAATGACGTCTTTCTAAATGTAATTGTTTTTATCCATTTGGTTACATATGTTTTAAAAGCTACCTAAAAAATATGGAAAAGGTCATTTGTTGTCCTGTAAGAATAGTGTTTATAATAATAATAATTTTAAAATAGATATTGACAGAAAATGGCCTTTGGCTTGGACCAAGTTTTAAATGTTAGCCTTCTTGTGTAACTGAGTTTTGGGGACCCCCGCCCCCCAAAATAAATTGTGGTTTGTCAGTTGTTTGTGGGTGTGTTTTAGGAACTTTGAATGAAAGTTGTGTGCATAATCAAACGTCTTGCGACGAGTTGTCAACCTTGGATTATTAACTTTTATTTAACCAAACATATCCCACTGAGATCCCAGATCTCTTTAGCAAAGGGCCCTGTTGTACGTGGTTTCTGGCCTGTGGGAGAAAACCCACACAAGTACAAGGAGAACATGCAAACTCCACACAGAAAGACCCTGGGTCCGAACCGGTAGAGCATGCTGGGCCTTTAAGTCTGTCTTCCACTATCTTTTAGCAGGAGTACATTATTTTTTGTAGGTTTTATAGGCGTTTTATGTAAAATATTTCATGGTTGACATATTCTTAAATGTAACTTTCATTCAGCTAAAATAGCTGGCAGGTAAAAGATGTTAGCTACACAAGAAAAACAACGACTTGCTTCCAAAGTGCAGAAAAATGTTGTAAAATTTATCAAACAAACATTATTGGAGAAATCTTTTATTGTTCTATAAGTGCTTATTGTAAATATTGTACAAGTTTTAGATATGTGTAAAAAACTGAAAGTGTCAAACCAAGTCTTTTTAGCTGTTGCTACAAGAAAAGCTGCTGCATGTTTCTCTGGTCTAAGTGGAAATTTGTGAAACTGCATGTCTGACTTGTCTGGGAGCGACTATGTGTCTTTAGACCAGGGGTGTCAAACTCCTGTCCTCGAGGGCCGCTATCCTGCATGTTTTAGAGGTTTTCTTGCTCCAACACACCAGATTTTGATCGCTGGGTAATTAACAGGCTTCTGCCCAATMTGAAGAGTTAATTCAATCACTGAATCAGGTGTGTTGGAGCTGGAAAACCTCTAAAACATGCAGGATAGCGGCCCTCGAGGACTGGAGTTTGACACCCCTGCTTTAGACATTGCAAAAATATTTTGTAAGCATTTACATCTAAATCTTTTCTTGACTCTAAATCAACTCAAACGTTAAACRTCTCATCCCATCAAGGATGAGTACGCTTCAGCATTATTTTTTTTTAAATACAATAAAAAGATGCACATTTAAATTTTTTTATCAGTTTAAAGTTGTGACTCAGAAAAGCCTGTTTTGTATTTTTTTTAATAACCTGGACGTAACATTAAAAAATGTTTTTGTTRCCAGGGTTTCCTGTGAGAGAATAACTGTAATCTCAGAGGGGAAAACAGGACTCATTAAATCTACTCAAGGTAAATAAAGTTAAATGTTTCTTAAAAGATCAGTTTTTAATTGCATCATTCAGCTTCTCGTCAGCAGACGGGACAGTGATTGTGGTGTACGTTCAAACAGGTCATTGTGGTTTTAGAGAAAGGGAGCTTAAGGTGGTGGATGTATTTCACTGTTTTTACTGTCAGGAAAAAATCAGTCAGTTCATTCAGTCATTCATTTTCATCACCTGCTTTTCTGTTCATGGTCGTTGGAAAGCAGTCATTGTGTGAGATGTGGGGTTAATCCTGGACAGGTTGCAGGTCTGTCACAAGGCCCCCCTCTCCTACAATTAAAAAAAAAACTTAACAAGAAAAATTCACGAGGACAGTAATTGCTTCTGCCATTGCCAGAGGGCATGGTGCAAGCTTTTTTTTTGAACATCAATTTTCAATGCTTTTCAATAAATTATTTTTCATTTTCACTCTTTGTATTCACACAAAAAGAAGTCTGAAAGGGTTGGTGATACTTCAGCAGATGAAAAGGATTTGCAATGCCAAATACTTCAGAAAAATAAAGGCCAACACAGGTTGCTTGGACCAATTCGGTGAACTTGACCTTTTAATAACGCTCTAAAGCTTAATGCTGAGTGAAAGCAACCAGCAACTGGCCACTCATACATGAAGATATGCTTTCAAGATATGGGGGCTGTATGGCCACGACATCACACATCTCATTAAAGAAAATCAGCTAAAACCCTGCAGGGGTGGTTACCTTAATTTTCAGGCTTGGATTCTGAAACAAACTGGCATCTGCTGTAATAATGAAAATGCACATTTTCTGCTTCTGAGCAGGAAAACAAATCAGAAAATCCACAAAGAGCTTAATAATTTTACAACTTCAACTGCTTAGCAGTAAAACCAGACTTAYACCAATTATAACGGATGACAGCGATACAAAACGGACAATATCTCAATATGTAAGAACCAGTAAATGTGAGGATGTATTCACAATGGGTGCACAGTCCTTACTACAGTTTTTCTTTATCAAATACTAGTAAATGTAATATAGGTCAAAAACAAACAAAAATGAACCTTATGCATTTGCCTTTGACTGCTCTGAATTATAAAYAAGTTTTGTAATCAATTAAAAATCCATATTGCTTTAACAACCAAKACAACTGGGGTGAGGGATTTGGAGCCCTGAATGTTTCCTGATCTAAAGACAGGAAGAAAAAAAAGGAAGAAGAAAAAATCCAATTGTGCATAAAACTTCAAAAATTCTGACAATTTAAAAAAGTTTGGCTARGTTTTTCTTTTACTGTTTCAAAGGTTCATATATGTTTTGTGTACCATGACTGTACCATTAGGTGTACATGTAATGTAATTTTTTAAAAAGGTTTAGCCTTTCGTGGTGCCATAGACGTGGCCTGTTTATATTTTTAAACACRGCATCTGAAGTAGTTTATATTGTTGGAATTATGGGAAACTGGAATTGATAGATTGACAAAGTCCATAGGTATGAGATGGTAACTGTTGCATACAAACTGTCCATAACTAAGTACAACATAGGGACATGACTTGATAGTTTCAACTGACCAGCACCCATTTTATTTATTCAATAATATTTACCAAATCGGCCTTGTTTTCATCCCGTGACAAAAGCGATTTGCATTAAAGTACTGTACGGAAACTCATTTTTAGCATAACTAATAGGGACAAATGGATAAAAAATACAGTATTATATATCATTTTTTGAGCACTTTTGATAAAAAATACAATAAAAGATTTGTTTTGTTGGAACATCAAATGCAATGGTGGTGCATAGTTCCACTAATCTGCTAACAGCTAATAACAAAGCTAACTTTTTGTTTAGCTGATTAGCATTTTTACCAACTTTGAACACCATAAGCTGGCCAGTTAACTTCCTGTAAATTTAGTTCTGCTTTAAGTCTGCTAATAAAAATGATCCCCTCACTCATGCAGAAATGCATGCCTGCCTCGTGCACTTTGTGGCATCTTAACATTTTGTGTGTCCACCWGTGTTAGTCTTCAGCTGGAAGGAGACGAAGACGTGTGGCACAGATTGATTGACAGTCGTCTCCATCCTCTCAGATCCTTGTGATATCAGGATAATGGCCACTCATTTTCTTTGCTCTTTAGTGYTTTATCATTTGCAATTAGTTTTTTAGTTAGTGGATTAGATGTTTTTTTTCCCACAGAAAATACACAATAGAAATCTTAAAAGTAATAAACTGCATACAAGTTTGATCTATTGATCCACAACTGATCTCTTTCACACACATTTTAACACCTAAACCACAGTAACTGGAGCTGGATCTTTAATTTTCTGGTATAAAGTGATGTTCAGTGCCCAGCACAAAGAATTTAAGTCTAAAAAATTTCAAGGCAAAATGTTGACCTAATGGATTAATTTGTATTTTAATTAAAATCATTGTTAGATGACAGGAAAAATAACTTTTTCTTTATTTTTGCTGGTAAAATATAGTCGGAGTGTTAGGTTGCAGCTGCTTCACTGGGATACTTTCTCCTCCTCAGTGTGGCTGTGAGTCTGCTTGTACCCGTATGTCTGAAAATAGAGAGCACAGACCAAGCAACAATTGTTAAAATTAAGACAGTGGAGGAACAAAAACAAACAAAAAAAATCCCAAACTCAAGTGAAGTTGAGAAAAGACCTAGTTGTCAGCGGCACGTCCTCAAAATGTTGTTTTCAACTTGGAGGGGTAGAAAACAATCCAAAACTGGCGCCCACCAGTAATTATGATGCAAGTACAAAGATATTTTTTTTCTCTCCAAAGGGAAAAGGGATGTGTAGGTGTATTAATTCCTATTCCTTCCTGCTTCCTCGACTTAGAAGTTCAGATTTAGAAAAAAATAGCCCCCCTCCACCACCCCCACCTTAAAGAACATAAAAAAAAGAACTGTCAGATTGAGTGATGCCAATCGTATGCAGCATCTACTGCTCCCTGTAGTATATGCCACACTGTGGCAGTGTGGGAAATTGACACTGTCAATTTATCAGAACAAAAGCTTTCCTCAGCAAGACGAACACACAGCTTTGGGCCCTGGAGACAAAAAAACAATCCTTCCACCCCCACCCTTACCTGCATCTAAACAGAATGTAGGACATTCATAACACCAGAAATAGAAATTTCACTCACAATTATCATTTTTGAATTTTATCCCCTGCAGTCAAAACTTAGTGTTTCACTTTAGCAGTTAGAGCTGCACTTTCTTAAAGTAAACACCTGAAAACAATAGATCCAGCCAGCTGCTGCAGCCTGAATACAAGGACGCTCCCGCAGCTTCATCTACACTGGGTGTTCTTGAAGTGAATGAAAACTTGAATAACCTAATTTTTCTTTTATTTATAAGCTGAATGTAATGGTTTTTATCTTCCAGGTGTGTGATCCTCTGGTTAAGACCATCACAAGTAAACGTTTTTGGGTAAGTAGTTGACCTGGTTTTTATTTTCATCTTTTAATAACATTAAGTTTTGTATGAACTTCACCAACCTTCAGAAATAAAAAATAAAAAATCACYTGCTCTAAGACCAAAACCCAAAATACCCTTTACAACAAAATGATTTGTAAAATTGCTTTGATGTTGGGATTCAGGGTGATTCAAGTGTGTGACGTGGTGTTTGCTTTGTACAGAAGATACAGGTGCTGGTCATAAAATTAGAATATCATGAAAAAGTAGATTTATTTCAGTAATTCCATTTCAAAAGTGAAACTTGTATATTATATTCATACATTACATACAAACTCATATATTTCAAATGTTTATTTRGTTTAATTTTGATGATTACAAATAACAACAAATGAAAATCTCAAATTCAGCATATCAGAAAATTAGAATATTACTGAAGACCACTAAAAACAAAGGATTTATAGAAATGCTGGCCAACTGAAAAGTATGAACATGAAAAGTATGAGCATGTACAGCACTCAGTATTTAGTTGGGGCTCCTTTGGCCTGTATTACTGCAGCAATGTGGCGTGGCATGGAGTCGATCAGTCTGTGGCACTGCTCAGGTGTTATGATAGCCCAGGTTGCTCTAATAGTGGCTTTTAGCTCTTCTGAATTGTTGGGTCTGGTGTATTGCATCTTCTGCTTCACAATACCCCATAGATTTTCTATGGGGTTAAGGTCAGGAGAGTTTGCTGGCCAATTAAGAACAGGGATACCATGGTCCTTCAACCAGGTACTGGTAGCTTTGGCACTGTGTGCAGGTGCCAAGTCCTGTTGGAAAATGAAATCTGCATCTCCAAAAAGTTGGTCAGCAGCAGGAAGCATGAAGTGCTCTAAAACTTCCTGGTATGTGGCTGCGTTGARCCTGGACCTCAGAAAACACAATGGACCAACACCAGCAGATGACATGGCACCCCAAACCATCACTGACTGTGGAAACTTTACACTGGACTTCAAGCAACGTGGATGAAGTGCCTCTCTTCTTTTCCTCCAGYCTCTGGGACCTTGATTTCCAAAGGAAATGCAAAATTTACTTTCATCAGAGAACATGACTTTGGACCACTCACCAGCAGTCCAGTCCTGTTTCTCTGTAGCCCAGGCAAGACGCTTCTGACGCTGTCTGTGGTTCAAGAGTGGCTTGACACAAGGAATGCGACAGCAGAAACCCATGTCTTTCATACGTCTGTGTGTGGTGGTTCTTGAAGCACTCACTCCAGCTGCAGTCCACTCTTTGTGAATCTCCCCCACATTTTTGAATGGGTTTTGTTTCACAATCCTCTCCAGGGTGCGGTTATCTCTCTTGCTTGTACATTTTTTTCGACCACATCTTTTCCTTCCCTTCGCCTCTCTATTAATGTGCTTGGACACAGAGCTCTGTGAACAGCCAGCCTCTTTAGCGATGACCTTTTGTGTCTTGCCCTCCTTGTGCAAGGTGTCGATGGTCGTCTTTTGGACAACTGTCAAGTCAGCAGTCTTCCCCATGATTGTGTAGCCTATAGAACTAGACTGAAAGACCATTTAAAGGCCTTTGCAGGTGGTTTGAGTTAATTAGCTGATTAGAGTGTGGTACCAGGTGCCATCCATTTTGAACCTTTTCACAAGATTCTAYTTTTCTGATATGCTGAATTTGAGATTTTCATTTGTTGTCATTTGTAATCATCAAAATTAAACGAAATAAACATTTGAAATATATGAGTTTGTATGTAATGTATGAATATAATATACAAGTTTCACTTTTTAAATGGAATTACTGAAATAAATCTACTTTTTCATGATATTCTAATTTTATGACCAGCACCTGTATGTACCATAATTTTATATTTAAAAACATATACCAAATATGTCTTTTGTAATGCACAAATTATCTTTAATTTTTTTATTTGTTAGACTGACTGATTTCTCTAATGAAATAACTATTTCTTTCAAAAAGATTATATTATTTAGAGAGCTCTTGTAATCATTTAATACTATTTATTGCTCACATTTGATTATTTATTGAATCACAGAGCAGTTCAGTCATAGTGTGGTTCTAATTATAAGCAAGCTATATTGTGAAGAATGCAATTTGTAGATATTTATGATAAACTACAAAAGAACAGAGCATTTTTGTTTTGTTTCTTTTGTGGGTAGGAGGGTGGTTGTGCCTAACGCTAAGCAGAGACTCATCTTTTGTATACTGGGGCAAACAAATGTTCATCTGAGTTAATATTTTGGAAGAGCAGCGGCTCTCACAGAACAACTCAACCTGTGTGCACCTCGGTGCGTTCCTGTAACAGCTCTGTGGAGGAGAAGAGTTTGGTCACGCGAGCAAAGTTGGACATATCTGTTAGAGCAGTGGTTCCCAAAGTAGGGGTCGGGACCCAAAGTGGGGTCCTGAAAAGATTTTCTAAATTAATTACATTTTTGCCTTAGTTGCCTAAAATGTATAAATGTAGAATAATAAATATTGTCACTATGCCCATGTTTAGTTAGCCTGGTTTAAACCAGACCCTGTCCTTCACTTTGCTTCGTACAAGGGTCTGGACTTGATGCATAGAGAATCGTTTCTTGCAGGAGGCGTGGCCTCTGCTGAAGCATTTGTGTTGTCAGTGTGAAGGAGGCTAAGCTAAGAAGCTAACCAGAAATCGCGTGTTCTGTAAACAACCCTACTGAGAGGAGAAAAGTACCGAGCTGAACGAGACGACTGTAAATGAGAGCTGCTGCTTTGTCTGACATATTTATTTTAATTTGGAAGCCTTATCAACACAGACTGGCTTCATTCACTTCCTCCACTGCCGTATGCTAAAATAACTAGCAGACACTGCGCAGAAAATCAACGTCGTTCAATAACTCCTCCTTCTGTTCTCTGATTGGCCCAGGTAAAATAAACTACAAGCAGACACTGCGCAGAAAATTGASGTTCTGTTCTCTGATTGGCCCAGGTAAAATAAACTACAAGCAGACACTGCGGAGAAAATTGACATGTAATATTTGGGGTCACACATTTTTCTCATGAATATTTTGTGGGTCAGAAGATAAAAAGTTTGGGAACCACTGTGTTCGATAACAACGCTCTGAACACATAAACTTATAGTGTGTTAGATTTTAGATACCAACGTCTCTGGTAGCTCAGGAGCAAAGTGTGGAGAACAGGGTTTGTTCACTCAGGACAGGAGCTGCAGGCTGACCAGTGTTTATCCTGCAGACTGCTGCACCGACATGAGAAAGACCCGCCCTGCTCTGCTCTGATTGGATAAAACTGTGGGGTTTGTTTGATTTGTTGAAAGCAGTGTCTGTTTAAACCTGTATCAGACTGGGCGGCTTTAACGAGACCGCAACAGAAAACAAGCAGGTTTATCTTTTCCTTATTTTTTTAATACTGACATGGGCAAAATGACTTTGGTTATTGTTATAAATGTTAGTGTTGTTTAATTTTCGGTTTATTGCTCAGACCTACTTTCAACCATGTTTGCCTTCACCTTTACAACTTAAATATCATTGCATGAACCACGTGACGTGAGCGTAATCCGCTGCGTGGTGGGATGATGTATTTACGTCATGAAATTAGCATATCATGAAGTCATTTATTTTTCTGGGCAAGTTTTTTTTTGTTTTACCAGTATTATCCTGAATGATATGATATGGCCCAACCAGACAGACAGCTGTTTAGCAGAACTAGCTTTTTTTTAGCTTATTAGGTAGCTTTAAAAAAAACGTTAGCTGACCAACTAGTTGCCTCTAAATTAAATTCCAGTAGTTTCAAGTCTGCTAACACAAAGTAAAGATCCCTTTCTGCCAATCAAAACACATGTAGAACCTGTTAACTTGCCATGCTACTAAATCCTGTATTTTCATTATTTTGATATGAAAAAATGATTCGAAATTTATAATTAGTCAAGATTACATTTATATGGCATCTCTTTAAAGGTGGAATTATTGGATCCTACAAACACAGATCTTTCACTTCAAATTGATTTTTAATAATCTTTTCCTGTTAAATCAATCAATCAATCAATCAAATACGATTACAAAGATTTAAATAGAAAATTATGAACTTATTCATTTAATGTCCAAAATGCTAACTATGTGGCTACCTATTGTATTTTCTAATGAATGATACACCTGTAGTCTGAACAATACGGTGGTTATTTTATTAGTATCACCTCACAGCAGGATGAAAATAAAGAAAATAATAATAATCTGTTAATGAAATATCTGTGAGCTCTCTGCTGCCTCCTGCTCGTTCACTGGGAGCAGAGTTGAGCTTAAATGAATAAATTTCAATTTATCTCTTGATTAGCAGACACTTTTCTGACATTGTGTCTGATAAGCTGCTGAGACTTCCTTTAACAGCCACATCCGACTTGTGTTTGCTGTCCTGATAACACTAATGGTCTTTGCTTTAATTGATTTAAGTGACAATGCTCTCATTCTTTAATCTGATGAAAACATGGTTTTTAAGTAAACGTATATATGAAATTACACACTTTGTCTGTTCGATTTACAAGTCTTAAACGCTCAGTTTGTACTTAGGAAGGCTTACACTGTTGCCAAAAAGTTTTCTATATATTTGAAGCAGATGGCTGTGCTCTCATGGGAGCCTGAGCTGTTCTCTGAATATGAAAATGCTGAACAGGTGGTTGAAGTGGATTCATTTACTGTTGTGGCTTTTAACACACACAGTGGCTTCTGAAAGTCTTAAGTCACTTCTATTTTTGCAGTTTTGTTTCTGAATGTTGCAGCCTGAGGCTACAGTTGTTTAACCCTTGTTTTGTCCTTTTGGACCATTGGTTCTTAGTGGGAATAATCGACCACCTTACTTCTTAAAAATACTGCCAGTATTACATTTTTCCCCCTGCAATAAGCTAGTCAACGATTTAAAGCCGTCTCAGCATGAAATAAATTTATTTTACAAGTTTCCACTCTTTAAGGTACTTTAGTTAAAAAAATAAATCCACATTTCAGTGTTTTTAAAAAAATCAACAAAATACAGTA